AGAGAGAGAGAGAGAGAGAGAGAGAGAGAGAGAGAGAGAGAGAGAGAGAGATTGAGAACGCCAGCCACCCAGGTTTTAGGAGGAACTCCACTTAAGAGGGCGAGCAGGATTTCCCCATCAGTACGTTCCCCATCTCCCTGGCAGATGCCAATAGCGGCCCCCAAAGATGCCCTTGCTCTTTGTGCCTCCTCCACTCCTTTGCCCCGCACGTCTCTTCCCCAGGCAGCGCAGGGCGAGGGATGAGGAAGCGCGGGAGATGGATCCCAAGACAGTACCTGAAGACGGCGCACCTGAGTGCCTCCGCCCTGGAGGGGAGGACAAGGCGACAGCCCAGGGATGGGGACCCGGGGACCCGGGGTTTCTGGCCCTGTCCTAAGTGTGCCCTGCTGTGCGTCTCGGTTTGTCCCGGTGTCCCCGACCAGCTCTGTCCGGCCCTCTTCTAGCGGCCGCGGCGTCCTCCCCGCCCCCGACAGGATGCAAGGGGAGTTTGCGCCGCGAAACGTGGGACACAGCTTCGGCACCCCCAATCGCCGCCTCGCCGCGGCTGGGATTCCCGCACCCGAATTTGTCGGTAAACTTTCCCGGGCGCACGCGGTGTCGTAGGCGCCACCCCACCCCCATCCGAATCCCCACGTCCTGGCTGCATGGATGGTCGTTTCACCTGCACGCGGCTGGTCGGAGCTCCTTCTGCTTCTTGCGCGTTCGGACCCAGGCGCCGCCCGGCGAGACCCCGCGCCGCTGCCGCCGCCGTTGCTGCCGCCGCCGGTGCCGCCGCCGCCGCGCCTGCTCGGAGCTGCAGCGCAGTGGTGCTCCCGCAGCCGCAGGAGGCGCAATCCCGGGCGCCGGAGCCCCGCAAGCCCCGCAGTCGCCACCCCACCGCGTCTCCCTGCCCGGGGCCGCAACGCACCGGCGCTGGGAGTCCGCTCCTGGGTAGGCTCTCGCAGCTGTGCTGCGCTGAGGCTCCACAGAGCCTCCAGGATGGGCGGGGATTCCCTCCCACTAGTAGATCCGAGGGGCGGGAACTCCCTTCCTGGAGTGACAGGGACGGGGGGCGGGGATTCCCCTGCAGGAATGACAAGGTGGGCGGGGATTCCCCCCCGAACGAGGCGCACCGCGGGCAGAGCGTCCCTCGGGGCAAACCCAGAGTCCTAGTACGCTGGTTTCATAAACCTGAGTATCATGGGAGGAAAGGATCCAGGGAAATGGCAGTCAGAATTTTCAGATGGCGGAGCTTTGGGCGCCATCTAGGTGGAGAGCGAGCTAGGGGACTTGAAGTTGCCTTTGCAGTGGCACTTTACATAGCAGCGAGAAAAATGTCAATTGCTTTATAAAAGAATGGGCGGAGGCCAAAGGAGATGGGGGAAGGTCTACCCATCCACCCCCAAGCCACTCTTGGCCTCTGGTCCTTGGGATGCCAAAGTATACTTAACACTGGTATGAGAATTTCGGGGTTCCCTTTTGGCACCTCAGAGCTGCTTAATCCCCCTGTTAAACTCCTGAGGGAAATCCTCAGAGACCAAGTTTCCTGGCCTTCGGGTGGTGGTTTTGGTCCTTGGGAGAACTAGCCAAGAGCCCCTGCTGAGTGGATTGTGATAACTAATGCCAATCGCCCTTGGCCTTGTTCCAGGTCATTCGAGGAACAGAAACGTCAGGTTTTTCGGATCCTTCATTCCCGTGGATTTTCAGGAAGGCCTTCAAATATTTTTGTTCTTTTTTTGTCATCCTTGTCATTCTGCCTACCACAGGGAGAGGATGATAAGAACATAATAGGGAGACTGCACAGCTCTGCAAATTAAGCTCTCTTAAGAGGAAAAAGCTGGTCTTTTTCAAGTGCTAGCAGATAAGAGTAAAAACATATGAAAAATTACAAAACCTGGGATAATGAATAGTTGAATAATGCTTTTGACATTTTCTGCAGAGCAATAATTGGAAATCTTTGCTTTGGGGGGATGGGGTGGGGCAAGGATCTGCGGCAGCTTTGCCCAGCAAGGCAATAGCTCTGGTCCCTTTCTTGGAAGAGCAGAGAGGCATAAATCACCTGCACAGACTCTGCAGAGCCAACCCGCAGCATCAGAGGCCATGGTGGTCCCAAGGCATTTCATGATGGCATTTTCAGCAGAGGTTGGGGTGGGAAAAGTACTTGAATTCATCTGTTCTTCAGCTTTTGTAATTACCAGGCCCCTGAGATCAGTGTAGGCACCAAGCACGTATTACAAGCTGTGCAATCTTGGGCACCCAGAGCTTCGCTTCCTATCTGTAAATACCTGCCATGCAGGATTGTTGTAAGGATGAGCAGCAGCATAGCTACTCAGCACAGCACTCAGGAGGTACTCAATGAAATGGCACTTAGTACCTAGAAAGGTATCATTGGGACACCACAGAAAATCCTTCTAGAATCAAACAGGACTAGTGGTTTCTGTTCTTTCACAGTCCCATTCCCATCTTCCACCATTCTCCCAAACACATGAGCCCTGACGAGGCAGTGCAGGTCTCCTCAGCCTCTGTACCAAGCACCTACCTCCTTCAGCACCCATTGGAAGTTTGCTGAATAAATGGATATGTAAATAAACTGATCACTCCAACCATAAAGCACTGCTATTTCTTACTCAACTCACCCTCAAACCCTGTATTCCAGCTAGGGACTCCTAAACTTGTAAATTCTGTTCTCTCTGTCAGAAGGCCATGCTCACCCTTCCTGTGTCTGCTGAAATTCCAGAGCTAAATGTCACCTCTTCTGGGAAGGTTGCTCTGATCACTGGCACCAACATCAGGTTTCTTCTTCCCCATTAATTGTTACAATGGTAGCACTTTCCACAAGTTGCTAATATAACGCTTGTCAGGTTGTATTAGGTTGTAGGAATCAGTGTTCCCTCTCACACATTTCCAGCTTGTGAGTTCCTGGAGGTAAGAGAACCTAGATATCATTATCTGTGTTCCCAAAACTTAGCATGATAACCCAATAGCCACTCGGTAAATATTTGCTGAATTAAAATGAGTTGTTAAATATATAGCTATATATGATATGTTATATATATCAGGGGTGCCAAAAAAATGTACACAAGTGGACACTTTGGTCAACGTTGCTCAAGCAGTAGTTCATCGTAATCAGAAGTATCTGGACGCTGATGGTAACCACTTGGAGCACCTCTTGTAATTGCAGAAATCAAATGTGACTTGTATTCATCTTTCGTTATTGGTATATATTGAATATTACAATTTTAATCGTTTTCCTTTCTTAAAATGTGTATACATTTTTTTGGCACCCTCTGTATATTATTTTCTCTCTGTCTCTTTTGGACATGGCTCTGCTTAAAGTACTTCTAGTTTCAATCACTTTTCATCTGATATTTTCCAGATAGTTTTTGGCAAGTTCTGGCCTGCTAATAATAGCTCACCTCTCAAGGGGTCAATCAAATGCATGGAAATTTTGTTTTGCCCTTGCAGCCTTGCCAATTTGGAAAGCTCACAACTGAGGGCATTCATTTTCCAGTGTTCGAAGATCAAAATGTAAATTCTTTCTGCCCCGTTGTTAAATATTTAGTCACAGATTAGTACTTCTATCCAAGTTGCCATTTTAATTTATTGCTCATACATATATGATATGGAGGAAGATGTTGGATATGGAAAATCTAAGGCTTCGTTAGGGACAATAGAAGATTAAAATAATGAACCAAGAAAAAAAATGTATTCTCCTGGGGGACGCTGTGTGAGTGATAGGTACATGAGTGCAGCGTACTTGATATGTGACCTGGGCTCGCGGACTGCTGTGTCATTTGGTTTACCTGTGAGCTTTCCCCCCTCTATAAAGAAGACTCTACCCATCAGGCCGCTGGAACTATTAATAAATCGGAAGTTTCATCGCCAACTCAAATGAAATCTTAAAGATTGCTTTCCATCTTTTATGTTCAGCTGCTCTTCCAAGTATGTTGAGGGTGGGGGTGGGAGGGAGAAGCCTAGTCAACAATTGGCTCAGCTCCCTTTCTCCTCCCTCTGTGCCTTCATTTAATCTCCAAAACAGATGCTGGCTTCCTGTTTACCCAGCTAATTACGTTCCTTTCTTTCTTCTGCGCGTTCCTGGCCATTAAAACTTCCATTCATGAACTCATATTGGAGTGAGCCATCCCCTGGCCAAAGAAGGGCTTAATAAGAACAAATAAGAAACAGTGAATAGAAAACATTAATTCAAAACAAACAAACAAACAAACAAAAACATTAATTCAGTGAACCTTAATCCCAAATGTGTTTAAGGATCCCCAGGAGATTTGAAAATTCCGAGTCCCTGGCCGTGCCCCTTGAGGTCATTCTAGCCGGTCTGTATCTGGGTTCCCATACTGTTTTCACCAGCACCCCAGGGAGTGTGACTTGGGTGGCCGACAGGGCATATCTGTAGAAACTCAGAAGTAGGGTGACTTTAAAAAGGAGAGGGAGCCCAGGTTACATCACATTCTGATATTTGGTCATAGTGGAGAGAGATTTTCTTTTAAACTTTGATGACAATTTTGTAACATTTATTGTGTCTCTGACCAAATCTTTTATTAGCCAATACATGAAATGGACCTACACTTGATTTATCCTGTTTTAAAATACTTGTTTAGGGGAAAGGTTTTAAGTACTTTTCATCTGATGTATATTGAAAATGATGATTTTCAGTGTATCCATGAAACTGACACTGGAACTTATGCAAATGTGATTTGTTGATTTCAGTGTTGTACATTACCCCCCTGGAGGTGGGGAGTTCCCTATGCGGAATATACAATCGCTCCTATTTATCTAGGTGGCTAAAACATTCATTATTTTATATCTTTGACTCAGCCTTCCATTTATATTATGAAAGCATTGGTTTCCAGGGTAATTTTTTATATAATTTTTGGCAAGAAAAAATGAATTATACTCTAGCAAGTACGAACCAAATATTGCTTACTTTAACAATTTATATAGAGGATTCAATAATTCTGTCCAGTGCTGAATTACCCAACATGCTTAAGGCACCAGCAAAAGAAGGCTGCAAAAAGAAAGAAAGAGCAAGGGCTGGCCGAGGGGTGC